ACCGATCGGCGAGCAAACAAACCGCTCGAGAGCTGGCGTGCGGCTGTATGCCGCGGCGGCGTGCCAAAGCGATGCGAGCCAGTGATTCGGGCTGATGTCCCCTACTCACGTGCTCAAAGTTGGCGCGTCGCCTTTTTTTGCTAGAGCGTAGAGTTTTTTTTTTTTTTTTTTTGTACTCCCGGCGTCATTGGGTTAATGAATGACTAGCCATAATTCACAATGGATAAATAGCTCTGTGTTATTCTGTTTCCTTATCATCTTAATGCATTTTTATTGTGATTTTGCATTTGTTGCGTTTAAGTTCATATATATATGACAAAATTGCCATATACTGTTCAGCCACAGGTCTCCCTCTCCCCCATGATAAATAAATAAAGAGATAAATAAAAATAAAAGAGGGTGGGGGAAAAGGGGGTAAGGTTTTTAAAAAGCTGATAGGAGAAATTGACAAAATGGCACACTAGTTTTTGTCCTTTTATAGTTATCCGACCTAGTTGCAGCACTTGAAAATTACAGCCTTTTAGGCATTAAAAAAAAGATTTAAGACAAAATTAGTTTGAAGTCAGTGACATTTATAGAAATTCAAGAATATCCACTGTCAAATTTATATCACTTCAGTTCTAACCCCTTGAAAGTTTATAGGTATTGTTTATGGGCACATCCTCTTCTTGTACATAAGGGGATGTGCAGTTACGTTCATTAAATTTATTTTAACATCTTCAGTGATAGCAATGCATCAAGTTATTTGGCTCTGCAAGTGGCTCTGTGTCAGTGAACAAAATAGGCATCCATGATAGAATTATGCAGTCATGGAATTTGTGCATTGACCAGTTTCTTGTCCCCCTTTTTTTCCCCAAAAAAATTTCTTGTATTAGTTTTCTATGCATTATTGGTTATTAGTGCTACTTATGAGATGTGATAACATTTAACCCCTTGGTGCCGGGTGACGCCGATCGGCGAGCAAACAAACCGCTCGAGAGCTGGCGTGCGGCTGTATGCCGCGGCGGCGTGCCAAAGCGATGCGAGCCAGTGATTCGGGCTGATGTCCCCTACTCACGTGCTCAAAGTTGGCGCGCCGCCTTTTTTTGCTAGAGCGTAGAGTTTTTTTTTTTTTTTTTTTTTTTTTTTTTTTTTTTTTTTTTTTTTTTTTTTTTTTTTTTTTTTTTTTTTTTTTTTTTTTTTTTTTTTTTTTTTTTTTTTTTGTACTCCCGGCATCATTGGGTTAATGAATGACTAGCCATAATTCACAATGGATAAATAGCTCTGTGTTATTCTGTTTCCTTATCATCTTGATGCATTTTTATTGTGATTTTGCATTTGTTACGTTTAAGTTCATATATATATGACAAAATTGCCATATACTGTTCAGCCACAGGTCTCCCCCTCCCCCATGATAAATAAATAAAGAGATAAATAAAAATAAAAGAGGGTGGGGGAAAAGGGGGTAAGGTTTTAAAAAAGCTGATAGGAGAAATTGACAAAATGGCACACTAGTTTTTGTCCTTTTATAGTTATCCAACCTAGTTGCAGCATTTGAAAATTACAGCCTTTTAGGCATTAAAAAAAAGATTTAAGACAAAATTAGTTTGAAGTCAGTGACATTTATAGAAATTCAAGAATATCCACTGTCAAATTTATATCCCTTCAGTTCTAACCTCTTGAAAGTTTATAGGTATTGTTTATGGGCACATCCTCTTCTTGTACATAAGGGGATGTGCAGTTACGTTCATTAAATTTATTTTAACATCTTCAGTGATAGCAATGCATCAAGTTATTTGGCTCTGCAAGTGGCTCTGTGTCAGTGAACAAAATAGGCATCCATGATAGAATTATGCAGTCATGGAATTTGTGCATTGACCAGTTTCTTGTCCCCCTTTTTTTCCCCCCAAAATTTCTTGTATTAGTTTTCTATGCATTATCGGTTATTAGTGCTACTTATGAGATGTGATAACATTTAACCCCTTGGTGCCGGGTGACGCCGATCGGCGAGCAAACAAACCGCTCGAGAGCTGGCGTGCGGCTGTATGCCGCGGCGGCGTGCCAAAGCGATGCGAGCCAGTGATTCGGGCTGATGTCCCCTACTCACGTGCTCAAAGTTGGCGCGTCGCCTTTTTTTGCTAGAGCATAGTTTTTTTTTGTTTTGTACTCCCGGCATCATTGGGTTAATGAATGACTAGCCATAATTCACAATGGATAAATAGCTCTGTGTTATTCTGTTTCCTTATCATCTTGATGCATTTTTATTGTGATTTTGCATTTGTTACGTTTAAGTTCATATATATATGACAAAATTGCCATATACTGTTCAGCCACAATAGTTTGGACTTGAAAATAAAGTATAGGCACAGGGAAGGTCAGGAAGGGGTTTGTCGTCTAATTTGAATACTGTACTGTATTTAGTGATAATATAAAATGAATTCTCATTTCCATTTATGATTTCTTACTTTAGAAAAGTTTGTAAATGTTCACTGTACTATGCTAACTGATAAAGTGATGTTTTACATTTCCTTTTTTTTTTTAAATTTCCAGTCAAGGTGAACGAGAATGCTACCTTCGTAGAAGATGGCATGGATGACGATATTGAGTTCGACGATTACTCAGAAGAGGAAGAGGATGCAGCAGCTGACATAGATGCAGTAAGTAGATATTAATTTAAATAGAAGTTATGTACAAGAGATTGAAAGTTTGTAATTATTTTATTGGAAGATGATAATTGTTACATTGGAAAATAAAGAAGTTAGTTGTCATAAATTGTAGGTAGTGAACTGGAATCCATTGAGTGATAATATTGTATTTTATTGTTTTAGAAAATAGATTTAAAATTTTCTATAAATAGCATTTCACTGATGCAGGATATATTTTCCTTTCAGCTATGAGAATGCTGGCCGAATACCTCTATTACAAGGATAGCAGATGCTAGCATAAAGTAGAAATAACTATTAGCTTTTTTTTTTCCTTTTTTTATGCCCATCATATACACAGTTGTTGGTGTCCCAACATGGGATGTTCTTTATTGCTGTAGAATCAGATTGATATTGTGTTTACATACAGCAAACTGAGGTTCAGAGTATTTTGATATCTAGTTGATAATCAGGAATCAATTTAGAAATTATTATTTAGGTAATGTTAATCCAAGAGATTCATATAAAGTGATACCAAGAAACAAACAGGAATACACTTGCTTTTTGTAGTGATTGCTTTCACTGCATATCAGTTTTTATTTGAATGTTTGTTTTGAAAAAAAGAGAAGGAAATTAGAAATTTGTTTTGCAAGATGCTGTTTTCTTTGGCCCTTTTTCGTTTCCATATCTGCATCCCTCCTGTAACCTTTTTTCTACTTTATCATAGGGAAATTAATCTTTTTAAATTGATATTTTATATAAAGTGTAATCTCAATTTTTGTTGTTTCTGTATCCTGTATTAATAATAGTCAGTTTTTTTCTTTTATTTATGGACTCTTCAGAAATGCATGATGTTTACCCTAAATGGAGTTTGTTAGGATTTCCTTTGAGATCTATATTGAGTGTATCACGTGTATACCTTTGAGATTAGCTTCGTAAGTTCTCTGGTATTTTCAGTGACATTAACTAGTTAAGGTTACTGGGAGTGCAAATAAATAAAACCCTAGGATTTTTTTTTTTTTAATGAAAAGTAAAGTTTAGTATATCTTTATGCATAAGGTGTAAGTGCTAAACCTTTTTCTGGTCTTACTGTTTTTTGGAATGTAAACAACTTAAGCTTCTGGAGTGATTGTCTCTAGAAAAAGAAATATTAGAACTTGTTGCTTCTCATTTTCCACTGTAAAGTGGTTCTAACATTGCTGATGGGCAAGACTTTATGAATTTTATAAACAAGCAAGTGTTGAAGAACTGTCTGGATGTTTTTATCTAAGGGAAACTGCCTTTAGTGCTCCTGTATGCTTTATTTTTGTCTAATCATCTCCATAGCTTGAAATGTGTATATATATTGATGTTTGTAGTATTAGGTTGGAATATTATTTCTGATAAATCAGTTTTGTTTAATTTCATTGCAGAGAAAAATTAAAGCAAAACGTGAGGGGAGTTATAGTAATAGAATACTTTTTGACAGGAAAGATTTTAAGCCAATACCAATTTTTTATTTGAGTTTGTCCATTTTGTTGTGGTAATAGAAGTGATGCCATCTTTAGAAAGGAAAATTTCAGACATGTTTATCACCACATGTAAAGCAAATTTTTTTTTTTATTAATTTATTTATTTAGTAATACTGTATTAATTGCAGGCATTACTTGTATAACAGTCTTTGTGTATTTATAATGCAATATGGAATATTAAAGTGAAACTTGATATTGGATGTTTGTTTAGGAGCCCTCATTCTGACGTAGAAAAAATACGAAGGTATTGAAAAAACATGTGCTTATTGTACACTTTTATATTATTTAGCTAATAAACATTTCATTACATTTGGCTCATATTACACAAAATAGTACATTAATTTTATTAAGATTAAAGACAGGGAAAGGAAAATATATGTAGTATGTCAAATAGTATGATCCCATGGTAAATTCAAATTATGCTGGCTGAAACCACCTTTTATAAATTTGATTGTGGTATTGTATTCCCATTACCAATTTAGCAGATTGTGGGACAAGCACCATTCATGTGTATCTACAATAGAAAATGGACAATATGTCTTAAAGAAAAGGAAAGTTTTTATACCTGGTGTAAGCTTCCCATGGGGCATGTATTAACAGCCCTGGGAATATCACCCGTATATATATTTATATATATATATGTATTTATATATACTGTATATGCTACAAAATATGCACTACATGCTATGTACTTTGTCAGTAGGTCTGGAGGTTTAACATGACCTCAATATTGATGACTGAAATTTAGAGGATATCCCTCATGGCTCAAGTCCTTTTTTTATTTTTTTTTTTATCTGTGCACAAAGTGATTTTAACTTGTATGCATGAGGTAAACTATTGTATTTTACCTCAACTACTTTACTTCTACTAATAAACTCAAATGGGACAAGATCTTAAGTGCAGAAAATGTTAATGTCAAAATGGTTGCAAACACATCCCAAGTCTATGAACCTTCAAATCTAACACTACCATACAAGGTACACCTCAGGTAAAGGACTAATCCAATTCCCATTGCATTGAGAACAACCCAGTAACTTGAGTTTTTCTTAAGTACACAAATGGCAACTTCCTGTACTCTTATTTAAATATGGCAACTAATTTAATTATTTCACAGAAAAGTGAATACTGCAATCCATAGCATAATGAAATGGGAAAACACATAGCACAGATCTACAGCTGGTCTACAAGAATTCTCTATTACACCTACAGAGATTATGAACTTGCAAACTACTTGACAATACAAGATTCTCTACAATAAAACTACTTTTATATACGTTATTTACATACACACTGTACAATAGATAAAAGCTGCCACTGACTAAGAAATTAGTATATGTAAAATTTACTAAATACTTGTGTACATCAGTTACAACAACCAAACCATTCCTTTATTATATGATGTATTTATGAACAATAAGGGAATTTATCAGCTAGGCTTTTGTCAACTCTCGAACTTGCCATAAACATTGCACATATTGGAACACTGAAAGCTGCAGTCCCTACAAGATACTTATTGATTGATAGGTAACTATTCTGCCAACTTATTTTTGCTAATTCACTGTTTCACTGTCTATAAATGTAACACTTATTGACATCTATTATTTTGGTGTCTGTACCTTAACCACTTGCTCTAAATGTTCCAAGTCTTGCTTCAAAAATGAAGGTTCAGACACCAATGTTAAATGCATTTTTGAGACTATGAAAACCACTGGGTAAAGTGTACTTCACCAATTGTTTGCTTGTTGCATTTATTTTCACGGCACAATAAACCAACTGTTTGTGTTTTAGTTCAGAGCAATATTAAGTACTTCTATGGTTCTGTAATTCACCATTGTAGCCATTTCCACATATTCTTTAGAGGATTTTCATCTCTTCTTTCAAGTCTCTCTCTCTCTCTCTCTATATATATATAGTCACAAATAGTGAATTTCACACAGGTATTACTATTATTATGGAGGGCACAGAAGTTAACATTAGATCTTCACTTTCAAAGAGCCATGCAGTTTCTGCTGTAATACTTTATACAAGTATTAATTTACTGATATTTCATTTTCTTTGAATTTTATTTGCATGTGTGAAGGTCTACGACTCTGGTACATGTTTTGCACTCCACGTAGCAACACCAGTGGAACTTGCAATGGCACCTTTCATGTAGTTTCACCTTTTGAGAATTGTAACCTCGACCGCAGCATAAGAGTCCACAGCCATCCATGCCTTGGGAACTCTTGTTGCAAATCCTGTCCTGGGTTCCTGCAAATTCAAGGGTCAAATTACATCTACATATCAAGTAAAACATTTTTGTTTATTTGACTTATTTATGAATTAATTAAAAAAAATATTGATAAAGTAACATAATATTAATTACATTAAAAGAAGCCAACCAGAACATTTCACACAAGATACTTGGGTTAAATAACTCATTAGAAAATATCCCTGGATTATACAATACCTAGAGATCCAACTGTATTATTGCGCCTGCAGTAGTCAGGAGATTCGTCCAAGTAGACCAGGTCCTCGGCAGTTGGGACATTAAACTGAGGGTGTTTGACTTGGAGTTTTCCTCGGCGATTGATTTTTACCTCTGTTGCTCCATCATATTTGTCCTTCAAGAGATCACCTGGTGTGAGAGAGTAACATCAGCCATTATGTGTGTATATCTAATAATCTCGGTTAAACGACACAATATTTAAGAAGGGTTTCATATATGGAGGAACACAGACATATTCACAACACTCAAATAACCATGCACGCACACATGTATACAAGCATGAACACCCCTCTGTCCACATTCTCCAAGTGAAGAACTGAATGAATAAGCTACTACTGTTAGCTGCACCCTGAAACTTAAATAAAACCTGGTAAATGTGAATTGGTTTAAATAATTTCATCTAAAACCACTTCTGTTGTTACTGGGCATTTCATATGGTACTGTTTATTGTATGAGTATATCATACTTATTATTAAGTTATGTATTTTCCTGCAAAGACTTACCTCTCCCCATGCACCAACGCCATTTGACGTGGCATATGATATATGATTACATTAATCGCCCAAATATAATATTACATTTAATGTCTGATTATATAAAACCTTCAATATTCTGATCAACTTACGGCAGTTTAATATTTTTCCGCACAGAGGTAATGCCTAACCAGCTGGAATGTTTAATCAATCTCAATCCTATGCTTTGTTCAGAACCATAAGAATCATCAATTTCATCCTCAGACATCCATTTTTGCGCTTGTTACAGAGATCATCTAATTTTCCGGGAGTCTTTCTTGTATTCATATCCCATGTGATCTCCGGTCTGCACACACTCATTTCCTTCAAGTCTAACTCATTTATAAAATAAACGCCTATTCCTCTCT